TTAAAATTTTATACAAGTAATGATATTTCATTAATTGATCTTGGTTTTAATTCTCTTCTCTTAAACAATGGTAAATTGATTTTTCATTCATTAATTACTATTACTAATAATCTTTTTTATTCGCATTTAACTAATTAATAAACATTTGATTATATTAATAACAATAAAGGAAAGGGCCAAGATTAAAATATTGATGAATTGGAGAATTGATTTAGTTTATAAATGAGGTTTTATATCGTAATGATAATAGTTTATTTAATTAATTTATTTAAGGTGAAAAAAAAATACAACCCATTAAATTTATGATAATACCTTGGTGCTAAAATAATTTTTTTATTTTCGTTATAAAACAAATCTCAATATTCTTAAAAAAATACATAAATATATTTCTGAGAAAAATAAATATTACTCTTGAAATTTTCATATTAATATATATAAAGTACATTTTTATGTATTTAAATTTAGATGTATAGATATCCAAGATTTATTATTTGTTTATTTTCGGTGTGAAAATTTTTAAATTTGTTTCTTTATTATCAGCCAGGAACATATCTTTCAACCTTTCAATTATTTTATCGCCGCCTCTTTTTGAACAAATTGGAGTCTAGTTTATTTAAAACTATCTTTAGTTCAATTAAAATTAGACAAAAAAAAAATTTTGTAAAAAGAAATATGCAAATTCATCTGAAAACATTGTTATCTAAAAATGAAACAAGGGAAGAGGATGAGGAAAATTCCCTGAAGTTTAATTTATGTTTATGGGTGGACAAGCTCTATTAAGCTTGGATGAGAGATTGGTTGATATTTTGGTGGGGTACACCTGGTAGAACATTGAATCATATTAATTAAATTAGTTTGTCTTGACGACAAAAAAATAAAATTGCGGCAAGTGAAGTCGTTAATTGACGATCCTTTGAATGGCAGTAAAAATTTTAAAAATCCCAATCAGACGTATAAAATTTCCTGAAGAAAAAATTTGATACATGAATATGAATTTAAATGGGATTAGAATCACAAAGTTAATGGTTTTTTTGCGGTCTTTCCTTTTATACATTGAATCACGGTTTAGCGGATACTAATTAAAAATCTCGGTTTAATGGATTAACTATAACCTTAATAAAAATCTTCTCGATATAACGGATTTCTCGAAAATTTCCCAAAACTATTTGTTTATAAATGTCAGTCACATGATTTGCCACGTTTGTTTTTTGTAAAAAAAAGAAATCGTCATTAACAATGACATCACCAAATCAAAAAGTTTATTAATATAAATTATTCGAC